AAAAAGGTTATTTTAAATTAATAGATTTACTTTTATTAAGTATTTTACCTTATATATAATTTATATACTTTAAGCTTAATTATCTTTATAGAAAAGTAATAGTACTTATTTATATATATTTAAAGTTAGTTATTAAGATATTAACTTTTTAGCTAAAACTAAGATCCTAGGTAATAATAAGGGTAATAAGTATCTTACCTATATATATTTATTGGTATTCTTTACCTTTATATGCTAGAGGCTAAAGCCTCTTTTAACTACCTATAACCTTACTCCTGTAACTTATACTGAAGCTTCTTACTGATTTTAACAGCCTGGGCTCTGTATTCTATGGTCAGATGCCTAACACCTCCAACGAGATTAGTGTGCTGCTTAATGCCTTCGGTACACCTGGTTGGTGTCGCCAGGAGGAGAACCAGTACTTGGCCATTCCTTACGAATATGTGGAAACTCTCCCCAAAGACATTCAGCGATTTTTGGGATACTATGTCAGTCTTCCATACGGTGGCGCTGTTGAGCATATGGAGCCTCTTGACTTTCTTGCAGCCAAGGGCGATTGGACCAAGTACATCTCCGTCGATCTTGTTTAGGAGGAGTAAAGCATGTAATTAGACAGAGTTAGTACTGGTAATGCCAAGGCTTCAGAGCTCTCACATATCGTATAGTTGGACTTGAGCCTTTGATAAATGTCTGAAGAGTGCATAATGTGGTCGTTCATTAGAGGGAAATCTATCTGGACTTGGTGAAATGCCTTGTAGTTCTGGAACCATTGAGATTGGCCTGCATCCTGGATAGTAAATTCGTCTGGCTTTACAGCACATAGCATCATTATAAAACTGTTTGTTATTGAAATTGTTACAATGATAATCGTAGATCCTCTTGACACTCAGATACAGCCTACATAAATTACATCTCTCCCATTCAGTCATTATAATTCTACTCAAATACTCATAGCCACAAGAGATTTAACAGTATAAACAGAGACCGAAATCTCAATACCTCGAAGTTCATTGAAACCAGCTAGAGGTATCATCTTCATCGCCTGGTGCCCCTGAATGATGTCCTGCCAAGACTGCTGATGACTCGACAATCTGGTACACCGACAGCTGTCCCCTTCAGCGTATGTAGATTTTGCAGGCCCACTTAGCCATCGCCAGATTTATCCATTAACGGAATAGATAACACATACTCCATTTTGATATGACTCTTTAGGGAGCGGTAGGCTAATCCGAATCACTATCCTTAACAGATAAAAGGTAAAATGATCTTTTCCATTACTCTTGTACATCATTGCTTTATCACTGCTACAACTCTGTCAACCCACCACCCTAAGGTCATTACGCGAACGAAGCGTCAAGATCATCTTACAATGGGGCTGGAATTGAATCCCTGTGAGATCGAAAAGTCCATCAAGATGAACAACATCTTGCCAAGCCAGAGTCCATTCGGTATCTTGGAACGTGTTACCTCTGTACTTGCAGATGACAATCTTCAGTCAAACTCCAACGCCAACGCCTCCAACGAAATGAGAATCGGGATAAGCAGTAAGAAGCAGATCGCCATAAATGGCCTTATCATTCTCTCGAACTTCTTACAGGTGGGGCTTCAGGTCTCTTCATGTGGATCAGCAATCATTGACTTTTATACCTTCAAGTTTACATCCATGTTCTCAACCTTGGCTGGAGGTCTTGAGTTCAGCCGCAGACTTGGCTGGGAGGCTACACCCGGAAAGGCCAACTGGATGGGTGCAGGATTCTCGTAGGTCTCAAGCTATCTAAACTCGTCTAGCTAGACTTCAGCTAACATCAAACAACAGTCTCACTCAAAGTGCCATGGTTCTGGTCAGCGGACGACTTGGAGCGATCTATGGACATAATCGTGCCCTGATGGCCGGCGGTGCAATCATTGTGATCTTCTCTCTCGCCAATGCTTTCACTTCAACTTATCACGCTTTCATAGCAATGCGTGCTATGACTGGTGTGGGAGGAGGTATCCTGATGCCAAATGCTGTTGCTTCTTTGATGATTGCAACCCCTCCTGGGCTGGCCCGCAATGCTACCCTCGCAGTCTTCGCAGCTTCACCACCTATAGGCGCTCTTTTAGGTGCGTTGTTCGCTGGAGTCTTTTTACAGGAGACAGCGGAATGGAAGTGGCTCTTTATCATCATGTAAGACCTAGTGATGTCTCGATACCAGGATAAGGGGAAGCTGACATAGATATCCACAGTGCGGCTTTGGAACTTATCGTGCTGATCGTTCTCTTTGTCGTACTTCCATCTGAAGAACCCGTTGATAAAGACGGAACGATTGACTTTATTGGAATACTATCAGGAGTGTCGGGCCTCGTACTGTTTTCTTTTGCCTGGATGTAAGTAACTGCACATTCCGACTAGACATGCCAAAGATGACTAAAAAGGCTTGCACAGACAGGGACCAGCTATCGGCTGGGATACGCCGTATGCCATAGCCGTTTTGGCCTTGTCAGGTGTTTCACTAGTTGTCTTCGTCGTATGGGAGAGCAAATACGCCCCCGAGCCTATCATGCCAGTCAGGATCTTTGCGGCACCAACCTTCACCGCTTTGATCATCGTTGTTCTTTTGACATACATGTCAGTGGGTATTGCTCTTTGGTACATGGTTGCATGGCAGCAACTGATCCGAGACTGGACGGTCCTTAACATCGCGATTGGCTGGATCCCGTACGGCGTCGGTGCATCGTTCGCCGTGACTCTTGCGGCGTTGCTGATACCAAGACTAGCAGCCCAATACTTGCTCGCAATTGGTATTGTTTCCTCTATGATATCACTGTTACTGCTTGGTACTATGCCAGAGCAACAAACGTATTGGGCGCAGACATTTCCTGGAATCTTGATTGGAAGCATCTGCGCAGACTTTGTCTATGTCGCTGCCCAGATCATAGCAAGCAACAGTGTCGGGGTCAAAGAGCAGGGTATTGCGGGGAGCCTTATCGGAACGTTGAATCTCTATGGAAACAGTCTCGGCCTGGGTTTCGCTGGGACTATAGAGACTCAGGTAGCCAGGCATACGGAGAGTGTGAGCTTGCCGTACCGAGCAGCTTTTTTCTTCGGAGCAGGGTTGACGTTGGTTGCCCTGGTTCTGAATGCTGCTTTTGTTCGCGTTCCTCGAGATTCTGGCTGTCACGGAGAGTCAATTGGAAGCTCCAATAGCCATCATCGAGAAGAGTAGCTAGTAAATGTATTCGAGCAACCAAAATTCTTGTATCAAAAGACAGGACAGATACTAGCGTTGATAAACGATATCTCTATTCAGTATAAGCAACTGTCACGTTTTAATCTCTGCCGGCATGAACTACTACGATATACGACTTGGATGAAAAGCTGTTAATGGATAGTTAGTTATTTGGACTACCACGCCTGAACACAGTTAGTGGAAATAACTGTGAAAGAGACATCTAGCACTTTGTAGCAGTTGCTCTCATCACCTTGATCCGCAATATATTATCAAATCATATTGACGTTACCTGTTACGCCAATGAGATACAACGGCTTTCAATTCACAGGCAGACCTACGTGGAAATACAGGTCAAGCCTACTGGCCTCGGAGCTAACGGGTAAGGGTTTTTGGGACTAGGTAATTAGCCGCCATCATCAGGTTAGTGCTGTGGGGTACTGTGGACGGACGTGATTAACACTGACCCGCTGCTAATCGTAGAATTTCACACAAACACATCACATAGGCAGTCTACGCAGCCAGATGCGGCGACTCGCAGTAGCCTCCATCTTGCACGACTTACAATGCAAGATTTGCACGGCATGTCGCAAACCAACAGTGGCGACTCATTTGCCCCGCCACAAGCCGTCCAGGAACGTGGCTCCCTGCGTACCCCTGAGAAGGGAAAGAGTCAGTTCATCGGCAGCTCCAGCGGAAATTCCTTTGTGAACACAGTCCGACGAGCATTCATAAACGCCTACTCGCGGCTGTCAATGCATGCCTGACTGGGCTTAAAAAGAGGATGAAGGGCTTTTCTTTCTCCATTTTGCGCCCTCTGACAAATTTCTCAGAATCTTATTGCTTGAGACCAGATTTGATGCGCGACAAGTCTATACATGTGTAGTTTGATCCAGACAATGTCGGCTTTAAGATTACCCGATGACCAACCCACCGAATATACACGGTCAAAGAATCCGTCGACAGTGCCGGTGTTCCGTTTGAATAGTGGACCGTTTATATCCCCAGTGCATTTTGTCCGTTAGCTAGATGTGTTATTTGCAGTTGAGACTTGTGGCTAAGAACTTAAATCAGCAGACAGAACTTAGTAACTTGGTCAGTCTCTGTAAGATAAGGAGGCCGGGCTCAAACATTCCTTCTTGCCCTTTCCTAAAACGAATTCAGATAGCAGACTAAAATTCTGGGTCAGATAGTTGTAAAGACAGCTTAGGGCAATAAATTCGAACTAATCTAGTCATGACTCTCTATTGGAGTTCCATCTTCAGTTGTTCCCTCTTCTGCATCAGGCCTCCTCACCCTCTCATTGCACCATTGGCGGATTGCCTCCATACACGCTCGCCATACTTCAACTAGATGACCGTATTTGACTATGATCTTTCGCCATACTTTCTCTAGACAGCCGTACCCATCTGTGACCAAATTGAATCCTACGTCCACGGCCCTAAGTATTGTATGCGAGACCAATTTATAAAGAGTCTCGGCGATTTTCATGTTCTCCAATAGGATTCCAATGGCAAGAAGAGCCCCAAATGCAACGAGAATCATGTAACCTAGAGTTCGACCAGCGGGTGCCTCGCTCATACTAAATACGCCGGTTGCAAAGCCTAAGGGGAGAAACACGACGGTTACGTATGTGAAACGTTGAATGTCATCAGCGCGTCGTTGCTCTACATCGTTGCGCATAGTTTCGACCCTATTAGTCAGTAAATCGTTGAAGCTTTTGATGTTGTTGTGGCTGCGTTTTAGTTCTTGGATGTTATGCTCGTTGCAAACAACCATTTTTGAGATGATGCTTCGGTACCGACTTTCATCATTGAAAGTCCATCGTGGCCTTTCTGCCTGTCTGTCTTTCTCTCGCTCTAGCCATCGATCAACTATGTTCAAGTTCTCGTTACGATCATCTTGTACAGCCTGCAGAGCGTCTTGAAACTTCCCGAATCGCTTTCTTTGCTTAACGAATTCGTCGTAGTCCAGCTCATCGGTTTCCTCGCGACTCCTTTGTGATGCCTTTGCTGGAGCCTTTGTCTTCTTCTTAATGCCCGACTTTGCTTGTTCGAGGATTCCATTGGCATAGGAATGCATCTGGCTGATGATTTTGTCGAAAAGGAGAAGTTCCAAAATTCTTCTTTGCCGCCAAGGCTGTCTCTTGAGGTCAACACCTTTCTTCTTCTTGAGTTCCTCTTCCAGGAGACCCTCGACGTTATCCACAATGGAATCTTTTGTTGTTTTCGTTCCTGGATCAGCTTCTAAGAACCAACATGTCCAGTAGCGGTCAAAAAAGTCACCGTCGAATCGAAAGCTCATAGCAACCCTCAACAGTTGAGTAGAATCATCTTCTTCTAAGCCCGGGAGAACAAGTGAATCTTTCTTTGAAGCGTCAATCGTCGACGTCTTAGACTTAGAAATATGTGTTTTATCAACTCCGTAGAAAGAAACGTGAAGCTCGGTTGTCCATGAATTAGATATTGGCGCGGGATCATCCAGAATTTATCGCAAGACTCATGTCGATTGTGAAACTCAGATAATTCCTTGTCGTCTGCCTCTGCTTGCTCTGCTTGCTCTTCTTGATTGCAGTTTAAAGTGGTGTAGTAGAGGGCAGATGTGGCACGGCAAATTTCGTTTGCCGAGGGTTCCTTCGCGAAAAAGGCCCAAAACCTCTTCTTCGCCTTTTCTGGCGTCCGTCCATTTTCCATTTGCTTTTTGAGAAACTCGCGGGTGGTGATCTTTTGAATGGACTCCCTCAAGCCACGAGTGTTCTTTTTCAAGTGCTTGGACTTGGGGACGTCCACCAAGACCCCAAGGAACTCCGGCGGTGAAGCTCCCGTGGTCGAATCATCAATCTGGCCCCAATGATTCAGTATTTCTTCCCACTTGTATTCAAGGTCGTCGATAAGGTCATCCGAGTTCTCATTTTCTAAATATTTTTTCATGTCGGTTTCAGGGTCAAATTCTTTTGCTGTGTCGGCACGCTGAGAGACAGTGGCATTTTCCCGACTGTTGGCATCTCCATGGACATCATCACGACTTAAGAGGCCATTACGAATATCGTGGTTGTCATCAGGGACGACTTTTTTTGAAGACACAAAGAATGTTGGTTCGTTATAGAGCCACTCATCTCCGAGTACCACAATATTGTCTTGGTCTACCATGTTGTTGAAAGGAAAGGTGCGTTTCATGGACTTACTTCGTGGGTAAGCTGCCATTTTGACCGCAACCTGCAGCTCAGCAGGCCCAGTTGGGGGTATGTGAGTGTTGTTACCAAGTGTTGCTGGTTGCAACTTACCAACTCCTGTAGGCTCGGTGATTTCTTCAGAACGAAACGGAAAATTCTCCACATCAGCTGGCCAGAAGAACCTCCAGAGAAGGTATGGTACCTCAAAAGTGACGCCCCAGTAAGTATCTCGCATGAACTCACTGAACTCACTCTCGTAAAGGGCTGGTTCGTTATTCTCGTCGAGTCTTCCGGGGATAAGCCCGTTAACTGAAGCACTTTGAAGCAGGACGTTAATTGCATGATCGTGCATATCCTTCGGGGGACGTTGGTTTATAGCCTTATGGTGATAAGCTATAACAGTTGCCAATGCGAACCGTAGCGGCTCCTCCCACAAATCATCATCGTCTTCATGTGCTGTCTGGCAATCAATGGTATTTTTCCAGACATCAACCATGCTACTCCAATTGCGTGGTTCCGTTCCCGGTTTATTAAACAACCCAAGGTTCATGGCGTGGAAAAGCGAAGCATCCTTGGTACGAAGAAGAAACCGAGTATGGGCGGGACTTCTCGACACTGCGATCATGCGCCTCTTGGAAACGGGGTTCTCAGTTGTGAACCTTTTGAGAATGTTGGACTGAACCACATCGGCGAAGTAGAACTTTGGCTTTCCATGTTTCTGGCCCGGCTGATGATTGCTTAAATGTCTCCCAGCTCGACCTTGCTTCTGTGATGCCTTCTTATTGAGAATGTCAGTAGGTGCCTTTAGCTCATTCCTCAAACCGAGGACTTCTGCAGACCTAGCCGCTCGCCAAATCAGTGCATGGTCGGTAAAATAGAAGTCGTCAGTGTCCCCGTTCTTGTAACTAGGAAAGGCGTAAAGTCCAAACATCAATTTCTGCGATCCACTCGACGATTGCAGTTCTTACACCCTCTTTCACAGACGGATCGATGTATTTGAAAGTTTCGTAAAAGTCTCCAGCTTTGATGATCTGGAACGGGCTATCGACAAGGGCCTTCGTTGGGAGATACTCATTGTCTTCCCAAGATTCGATTGATTCGCCATTCACCCATCGATGGGGCGACAAAAAGTTGGAGGGTTTTTCTCCCCTTTCGAAAAGCCATATTAGGTGGCCTTTGCAGGCCTTCTCAATGCGATTCCGCATTGCGCTGATGTAGGAAAGTTGAGATTCGTTGCAGCCTTGCGGGGGCTTCTCCGGATCAAAACGTCGCCAGGCCAACAACAAGAACTGAAAGCAATAGCTTAATTGATCAATAAAGTAGTTAGCATCAGAAATTAGGGGGCCTTACAAGCTTGCTGCCGTGGCAACTCGATGGCCGTCAATATCGCCACATGTAAAGGCAATGGCAGACTTGCCAGTTTTCTGGAGGGTAACTGGTATGCTACAAACGGATAGTATGTGCTCCAGATTTCGATTCATGATTGTATCGAGATAGGTAGCGCCAGTGAGCGCGTGACCCCGGAAGTCAGCTAAGGCGAGCTGTTCTTCCGCAGTGGAAACATCGTGGATTGAAACGCTTGGGAGAATGCCTCCTTGGGGAACAAGGTCTAGCTTGTAGGCAAGTATAGCCTTGAGCTTTCCGGTTTTCTCAAAGTTCCTCAATGCTAGCTCGTTCCATCGGATCTTATAGTAGTTATAATCATCCGTGGCTTGATCGTCAAACTTTAACATCTTGCCATCTTGAATGCAAGAAATAGACAGTACAACTAAATTTTCGTGGTTGGAGTTTGGCTTGTCTTTCGCAGTAGAGTCAAGTTTGTGTTCGCGAATGAAACGGTCCTGTTCGTTCCTGGAATTGTACGCCTCGTCTGCTTCACCGGCTTCGTTGTATGTATTATCAGGATTGGTAAAGTCAAGGTCTCGGATGAGCAAGCCATCTTTCATCAAAAGAGTTGGTGAATATGTCCTTCCATAACATGGGTCGCGAAAAAAGTCAAAGATCTGGTAGATGGTAGCGTCAAATGCTACATACTGGATCGTCACCTCCATGCCATCTTTTCGTTTCCGAGTAAACACTGGCCATCGATTGAGAACATATTTGATAGAACTCGGCTCACTCCATGATGATGATGGAAAAAGGATAGGATCAATTGCAGTTCTAAGTGAAGGGTCGGCAGCCCAAGAATGAAGTCTCTCGGCGCGCTTGAATACCATAAATGGTTCAGGAACGAATCGATGATCAACGCAGAATCCTACTCTCTGGTCCGGGAAATGACGAGACATCTGCATCAGACGTCCAGAGGCCCCCACGGTTGCCGTGACGCCTTCATGCCCAAATGAGTGATAGGTATTTCGTTTCTTGGTCTGCTCTAAAGAGCGGGCAAAAGAAGTCGCCGGTTCCTCGGAGCTTGAAGTCGCCATGGGAAGTTACGATCTGAAAGATCTGGGTCACAATTTGAATAAGGATGGGTGACGCTTTAATGGAGATTTAGACGTGGGAAGAAGCTGGTTTGTGAGGTCCAGAAACTGAGAGAAATCGAGGCCGGGATAAAATTCCTTCACTAAATAGAGAGGACTTAGTACTAAGCTTGTCCGAAGCATTGCCTTTGGATCTGACATATCCCCTTTCGTCGCAGCCTGCTTGACTTGGCTGCATGTGGCTTGCTGATCAAAGCTCAGCTCCGGGAAGATCATCCTTGATCTAGGCAATACAGGCCTCAAGGGTCTGTTTTGTTATTTTTAGGCCCACTTATAGGTATCTCGCCACAGCTAAGGTATTCCCCTTAGGCTTGATTGGCGTTGTACAGACGCTAACAAAACAGACCCTTGAGGCCTGTATCAGCAAGGGTATTGTCTTAGACGTGGCTGAAATCGAGCCAGTTACAGAGCCAAGCAGATGTATCATTTCGTCAAGGTGGATCTGGAGGCCAGAAACTTGATTGTCATAGGACGCAACGTGAGACCTGCAGAATCGGTAAATCACGCTCCCTTCATCCGGCCATTCAAAAAGGAAGTTCCTGTACGCATTATCACACCGAGAGCGCTTTTAGGTGGGTGACGCGAGAAATAAAGAAGCCTCCTCGTCACTTGCTGGCCTCAACTGAGTATCTACCACTCAAGGTTATCAGCCGCTCCAATGATAAGTAGCGAAGCTGATACGGATTTTTACATATCGTTTATCAAGCCAATCACATCGAAATACAGGAACATGAATAAAAAAGAGTTTTACATCGCACTAAGCTATGATCTATTTTTCAGTGAGTCTTGTTAATGCTTTTTATTATTATTAAATTCCTAATAATATTTATTAAATTTAAGTCTTATATCAAGGTCTAACAATTGCCAATTTACTAATTATCTGTTAATTTCGTATACCAACCTGAATATGAAGTTAAGAATATTAAACTTATAGTGGAGAAGTCTCTCAATACTGTCATTGGATGACTATCTAGGACGGCCTCTTAAAGTGCACCTTGAGCTCCTCCCAACTATGCTTATTATAATCAGGCTGCACCTTCTTGCAAGTCTCCAACCCCCAATCCGTAATCCCCAACATCAAACTACTCTCAAACATAAACGCCATGCTCCCCTCCCCAACCTTGACAGGCTTCAACTCCGCATTACTCGCCCTCTCATACGAATCAGCATCCGGACCGTGAGCTGTCATAATATTGTGCAGACTAGCACCCGCAGGTTGAAAACCACCGCCAGTCTTGGCATCGTACTGCCCGCAGATGAGCCCCATGAACTCGGACATGGTGTTGCGGTGGTACCACGGTGGGCGGAATGTGTCTTCTTGCACGAGCCAGCGCGGGGGGAAGATTACAAAGTCGGCGATGGCGGTGCCGGGATGGTCGGAGGGGCCGGTTAGGACGGTGAAGATGGAGGGGTCGGGGTGGTCGAAGGATGTGCTGCCTATAACAGAAAAGCGACCTAGGTCGTATTTGTAAGGGTAGACTATAACTGTCAGCAGATACTCTCAACAAACGTAGCATCATATCTGTAACTCACATCTATCAAGGTTAGCACCGAACATCAATACCAGGTAGGGTTACTCACTTTCCATGCCACGCAACAACATCAAACGGGGTATGTCCCTGCTCAGCGACAAAAAGCTCATTGTTGAACTTATTCAAAATCGTCCAAGTACTCTTCGTATCCTCCTCAAAATCCGCAACAGGAATCTGAAAGTCCCGCGGATTCGCCAGACAATTCGATCCAATAGGTCCCAACTCCGGGAGTTGAAAGTGTCCCTGATACAGCTCAAGGATATACCCTCTCACCGGCCCCTCAGGCAATGTAATTCTATACCTCACTCCCCTAGGAATAATAGCAATCTCATTCGGTCGCACAAGCAATCGTCCCAGCTCAGTCTGAATATCCAAGACTCCATGTTGCGCGACGATAAGCATCTCACCGTCGGAGGAATACATCGCTGTATTAGCGTCCATGTCCCTCCCCGCGGCGAAGACGTAGATTCCAAGACCGGATTTGACGGTGGGATCGCCTGCGCCGGATACAAGCTTTAGACCACGAACCCAATCGACTTTTTCATCAATGTCAAATGGATCCCAGCGGAGTTGCTGGGGCTCATAGTTCAGTTTGGCTTTGAGAATTGGGGATGAGGGGTCAGTGAAGCGTTTGTACGTTGAGTGTGACGCCGAAGGGAGGATGCGGTACAGCCATGTTTGCCGGTTCTCATGCCGGGGAGCTGTAAATGCTGTGCCGGAGAGTTTCTCGGCGTACAAGCCGTACGGGGGCTTTTGGGGTGAGTTAGCGCCTATTGGCAGGGCTCCCTTGATAGACTCAGATCTACTCCCATTAGCTACTCTCAAGTCAAGGTGAAGAGGGACTTGCTCGTGGAATGAATCAAAGCCATTGAGGTACTCGTACTTCTCAGGCGTAGAAAACTTTGTAACAGGCATTTTCACAATGATCAAATCATGCTTAAGAGAATAGATAAGAAATCTTTATCAATCAGTTCTTTCTGCTTTATTTAACAATGTTTTTCGGTTCAAGCCCGAGTTTCCGAGTGGTTAATACGTCCCGCCTCATCCGACTCATCTCGGAAAGAAATGGAAATTTCCGAAACGACCCCGCGATCAAGATGGTCACTTATTAAACGTCACGACATTAATACTACTCTACAACGCGATATAATGATCTCAAGTAGAGGGCCCTTTATTTGCAGAGGATTTAAAAGGCCGGCATTGCCACTGAGGATATCTCGTTGTCGAGTTCTTGTGTCTTTCTCAACATCTTCACATTCGAAATCGTTAAAAATGGCTTCTTGGCTACCTATCCCTTCAAAGAGCCACTTCTCACTGGCAAACATTCCCTTTGGAATCATCTCAACATCCACTGGACAAACGCTTCGTCCTGCGATTGCAATCGGCCAGCATGTTCTTGACCTATCAGCCTTTTCTCAAAACAACGGTTTCTCCAAACTAGCAGACTTTCCCTCCGATCAACTCAAGGTCTTTTCCCAAACTACCCTTAATGACTTTGCTGCTCTTGGAAGACCCGTGCACAGAGCTACACGGGCCTATCTCCAAGATATCTTCCGCCAAGAAACGCCATACCCTGAGATCCTCAAGGATAATGAGTCCCTGAGAAAACAAGCTCTCATTCCAATTGGGGATGTTCAGTCTCACTTGCCCCTTAGCATCGGCGACTATACTGATTTCTTCGCTGGTCGTAACCACGCTCACACCGTGGGTACACTCTTCCGCGGCGCTGCAAACGCTCTGCAGCCTAACTACAACCATCTACCCGTCGCATACCACGGCCGCGCAAGTTCCGTCGTGGTATCAGGAACACCCCTCCACCGCCCCTGGGGCCAGGTCCTGCCTAACCCTCAAGCCAAAGAGCCTGTGTTCCAGCCCTGCGCCCGACTTGATATTGAGCTGGAGCTCGGTATGTTTATCAGCAAGGGGAACAAGCTCGGTGCTCCTGTTGATGTGAATAACGCGGAGGAGTATATTTTCGGATATGTTCTTATGAATGATTGGAGTGCGCGGGATATTCAGCAGTGGGAGTATGTTCCGCTGGGACCGTTCAATGCGAAGAACTTTGGGACGACGATTAGTCCTTGGGTTGTTTTGGCGGATGCGCTGGAGGGCTTTAGGGGAAAGGGGTTGGAGAATGAGGTGCCGCCGAAGAAGTATCTTGATGAGAAGAGGGAGGACTCGATTCTTGATATCAACCTGGAGGTTTCTATCACTAGTAAGTCATCTCCCAAGCTCAACTGAAATAATGATACTGACAAGATGTAGCTGCCAAGGGTAACAAGACGAAAATCACCCAAGTCTCATCCCAGAACCTTCTCTGGTCCTGGCCCCAGATGATCGCCCACCACTCCGTGTCAGGGTGCAACCTTCGCCCAGGAGACCTGCTCGGTTCAGGGACAATTTCTGGTCTTGAGCCTGGAACGCAGGGAAGTCTTCTTGAGCAAACGATGGGCGGGAAACAATTTGTCAAGTTGGAGGGAGGCGAGGAGCGAAAGTTTATCCAGGATGGTGATAGTATCACTATTACGGGTTGGTCTGGTACTGCTGAGGATGGAATTGTTGGGTTTGGGGAGTGTGAGGGTACGATTATTGCTGCCATTCCTAGAGATTAAATAGGTTGAGGTCGTTTAGACTATAGATTATGCAACTTTTGTTTGAGCATCATTTAAGTGGCTAAGCGATGTGATATATGCAAGTCTTTTAGAAGCTATACTCTTATCATGTAGATTCACTCTCTTAGTAGATTTTCATTTATCGCGAAACCAGTCTGACCTCCTTCTAATTACGATCGTAGATGCATTACGGATAGGAATCTTATGGGCGCCTCATCACGGATCAGAAAATGTCGGAATTCGAGGTGACTGTGATCCATCATCTCAGTCTTCCCAATTCCCTCAGAAGCTATATCCACACAAGACTATCCGAACCAAGTGCCGACAAATACTTTTCTCATCGTATTCCTGCACAACAGTGGAGCTCAACCTAGCTCCGGAACTCTCACCCCAAATTCCGAGCCAGCTCCTCGATATAAACCTCCAAACCTCCGAATACACTTCTAATCTCTATATCCGTACTTCCCTCTCTCCACTCCACCAAACTCATCATGTCCGGCCAAATCACCCGCGTCACCCTCTTCAAGATCCCCAAAGCGGAAGATCAACAACACCTCGTCGATCTCTACAAGCAAATGCCCCAGAAAGCCACAAAGGTAACCCCAACCAACCCCTTATCCCCTCTTTTCTAACATTTCACAGGACGGGAAGCCATATATCGTCTCAGTGCAAGCAGGAAAAGCAAAAGCAGACCAACGATCTCAGGGCTTCACGATCGTGGCTATTTCAACGTTCGCGTCGCAGGAGGATTTTAACTACTACGACACCCAATGCGCTGCGCATCTTGAGCTAAGGACTTTTGCGAAGAGTGTTAATGAGGGCGTGGCGATGATTTACTTTGAGAATGAGGTTCTGTAGATTTGAATAAGATTTTCATATTAAGCCTTGGAATCTCATGGATATATCCTTTCCTTGCTCTGCGGCCATGGCATACTCTCCTTCTTCGCTAAACGTGCTTGGTACGGGCTGTAGGAATTGTTGCCCTTCGCCGAATGCGTTGAAGAGGTTGAGGAGCGATTCGCTCATTTGAAACATATCGGGAACCGAGTTTGCGACATCTGCGTCGCCAAATATCATGTCGCCAAAGGAAAAGGCCTCGTTGTCGGGCATTGCCATGGGGACATGCTCTTCAGCGTTGACTTCAACCTGTGGAACTGTCTGCTCGTTTTGACCATTTTCATCATCCTTTCGAGGCTCACCATCTTCACCGTTTTGAGGAAAACCGAAAGTGTTCATTCGGGGAATCATACCGCGAATACTCTTCCAAAGTCTTTTACTGACGATGTTATGTCGGGATAACCCTCGCACTAGCTCAACGCCGTCGGAGAATGTGCGTTTGCACGGTACGGAGAAAATCTCTGGGGCGTGACACACAGCTAGGAAGATGACTGCCAATGCACTGAGTAGAAAGTAGTTGAAGACGTTCTGCTGCCGCTTGTAAATATCCGTCGTAGCATGCAGATGCACCAGAACCTGGATAGTGTCCTGCGCTATATCAACCACCAACCACGCATTCTGCGGGTTAGCAGCTATACTAGCCGTGCTCATCAGATGATGTCGATAAATCAAGATACGAGCGTAATTGCCACGAAGGTATAACAACGCCCGCAGACGATGAGGCAGCCGAGGTTGAGCTCGCGGTGCAAGACCAAGACGAGGATGCCGAAGTCGGAGATGCGACGGAATAGAGTCTAACCAATCTTGAGTTTTCAAATCGAGAATAGCAGCTGTGTCGTCGGGAATGGTTTGAGAAGCTGAGCCAAAAGGTGGAATGGCTTCCCAGATTTTAGAGCATAGTTGACCATATCCAACCATGCACTGAAGATACAAATATTCCTCATCCTACTTTAATTAGCTTAGATCATGGTCTTTTATAAGTGGACTTACGGGTTTCGGTAATTCTGGATCAACGTCCTTATCGACCAGCGCAAACGATAAACTCGTTCCAAAACTCCATCGCCGATCAAGTACGTACACGCACCAAAACACACGCGTAGCTAATCGTCGAGAATCAGTGTCTTTAAAATTATCCAGAAGACTCCGTTTCCGATGGAGCCCCATCTCCAGAGCTTGACGCGCTGCTATGCCGATAGACCGCCAAGCCAATAGCTCCTCACCAGCGTGGAAGTAGTATATACTCTACTGTCATCAGTACCTTTTCGTTATAACAATGGAGGAGACTTGCCAGCATTGCCAAAAGTTGAACTTCCTTCAAATCAACCTGCGGACTCAGAATACTCGACACATTCGTCTGCACCGAGTCCACAATCGCCGTCGCCAACTCAAGCTTACTCGGCTCCTCAAGCAAAATGCCCGTCGAGATGGCCACCTTTGCAATATCAATATCCTTCCCACTAACCCTCCCCTCATCCTCAAACCCGCCACGAATCGCCTGCAATATCTCCTTGCTCTGCGCGATATACTCCGCGATGTCGATAAACGGATACACCGACTCAACCTCCTCCTGGAAATTGACAAGATACTTGGTGATATCACTCGCCGTACAGCAGTGCCAGAAACTGAGGTCGTTAATAGAGTCGAGAGCTGGTTCAACGGGAGATTGTGCGCCGCTGGGAGGCATAGAGTCGAATTTGGGAACGCCCATTCTGTTGAGGGAGCGTTCGCTGACAAGGATGCCGAAGGCGGAGCGCGTTGGACCGACGAATTGCGGTTGTTTGGGCATTTCGCCGCGGTGCGTGCTTGCGGGCGAATGGGTTACTATGTTGTGTGATGATACGGTTGATGCATCTTGAGGATGTGTTTGGTGGTGGTTCTGGTTCTGGTCTTTGAGCTCGCGGACGACACCGACGAGGTCTGACATTTGTTGACGGAGTTCTGATAATTGATTATTCAGGGCTTGGATAGTTTGATTGCTGGTGACTTGTCAGTTTATTCTTTGAATGCAGTGGACTACTTACTCATCGGGTTTCTCTTTGCTAGCTTGCGTACTCGTCGCGAACGTACACGTCAACCCACCAGCGATACACCTCTCACACGCGTTATCCTCCGAGGGAATACACTTGAGTTTCTTCTTCTTACAATCATCGCTACCCCAGTCGAGTCAACACTCATCCCCATGACCATGGATCTCTCACTCACCAAGCAACAGACGTGTATTTGCCCCTCTTACTCCGTGGAGCAGGTGTGTCAGCAACGCTCTCAGCATCGGCCGAGTTCCGCTTTTTCGGCTTTAGTACCGGGGGCTCTTCAATCATGGCGAACAGATAACAATTTCCGAAAGGTTAAGAATCGACTGAGGGGTCTTGGATTGGAAATCCCTGGTTAAAGAGGGTTTCTCGGAAATTCTTCCGATGTTTCCGAGTCGGAAGAACAAGATTTGCGGGGTTGGCGAGCTAGAGAGTGTGGGGTTACTCTTGGCGCATTTTGGTGTTGATGGAGGGTAGGCGTTGACTTTGCAGTGGTATATAGAGCTGAACCAAGTCCGTATAGTGTTCCAATAATCTCACTCACTTACTTAGCAATCAAGTTCTTCACAGTGTTCATCATGACGATCGCTAATCTCCTTGTTTCGCTAAACAACCAAGTCCACGAGAACAAGGGCCAGTCCCTCCTCGTGACGCTCCTGATTGGCCCGCTGATCTACATCTTCATCAACGAACTCATTCGTCACAATGCGAGGATCAGCAACTTAAAGGGCCCCTCGGGCTTACCGCTCATCGGCAATATCTGGGACATTCACATCAACGCCGCTGAGAAATACCGCGCTTGGGCCAAGAAGTACGGACCCGTTTATCAGATCCAGTTGGGAAACATTCCTATCGTCGTTGTCAATTCTGCTGCGGCTGCGAGGAGTATTTTTGGCGCGAATGCACAGGCTTTGAGCTCGAGACCTGAGTTTTACACATTTCACAAGGTGAGCTTACTCTGAGATTCTGATGCACAACGGGATGCTGACGGTTTAGGTCCTCTCTGACACTGCTGGTACTACAATCGGCACTTCTCCCTACAGCGACTCCCTCAAGCGTCGTCGCAAGGGCGCTGCCTCTGCTCTGAACCGTCCATCAGTCGCTACATACGTTGATCATCTCGATATCGAAACGCGCGACTTCGTCAGAGAGCTTTTCGAGTATGGCAAGGGCGGCAACATCCCCGTCGACCCTATGCCCATGATCCAACGCCTTTCTCTCTCCCTCGCACTCACACTCAACTGGGGTATTCGTCTCAAGAGTCAAAAAGATGATCTATTCTCTGAAATCACCCACGTCGAGGAAGAAATCAGCCGTTTCCGCTCTACCACCGGTAATCTCCAAGACTACATTCCTCTGCTCCGCCTGAACCCTTTCAACATGCACTCTGCCAGGGCAAAAGAGATGCGAAACCGTCGGGATAAGTACCTCACTGATCTTAACAACGGTCTTGACGAACGGATCGCAAACGGAACTTATAAGCCCTGTATTCAAGCCAATGTCATAATGGACAAGGAAGCCAAGCTAAACAAGGACGAACTCACCTCCATTAGTCTCACTATGCTGTCAGGCGGTCTTGACACTGTTACTACACAAGTTGCGTGGTTTGTCGCGTATTTGAGTCAGCATCCCGAGATTCAGGAAAAGGCTGTTTCGGAGATTCGGAAGTTTTACAGTGAGAAGCAGCCCATGTGCGATGAGCAGGATGACCAGAAGTGCGAGTATATCGTTGCGCTTGTGAAGGAGTCGCTGAGATATTACACTGTCCTGAGACTAGCGCTGCCGAGGGCTTCAATTAGAGATATTGTTTATGAGGGCGTTACTATTCCTAAGGGTACTGTTGTTTTCTTGAACGCTTGGGCCTGCAATATGGGTAAGTCGCCATTCTCCTCGTTTACTTATGTTTGTTTGTGTACTAACATTCTATAGACGATCAAGTCTGGTCTGATCCCGATGTCTTCCGTCCTGAGCGATGGTTCGAACAGCCAGACGCTCCTCTCTTCACATACGGCGTCGGTTATCGTATGTGCGCTGGTTCTCTCCTCGCCAACCGAGAGCTCTACCTCGTTTATATGAGACTTCTCAACAGTCTCAAGATTGAGAAGTCTGACGAGGTGGATTGTCATCCTATCACTGGTAGCTTGGATCCTACAAGTCTTGTCGCTCTGCCTCGTCGATTCAAGGCTATCTTTAAGCCTAGAAACCCTGAGGCTTTACAGAAAGCTTTGGCGGTCGAGAGCTGAGTGAGATGTGAGGTTGGTGGGTGGATGGTCTCTGTCGGGTGCTGTGTTTGAGCATATTAAATGGTCTGTGGTCTTGTTTATGTTACTATTGCATGGTGATACGGATCCATCTGGACCATTGAACCCCTCTGTTACTGTTTAGGCTAGATATAAATAACAAAAGTTATCACACATGTCTTTCCATGACCCTATCTTGAATCCTGCATCCAAATCGCCCTCATTCTCACTCATCCGCTTCCCATCCATGTTTACTGCGCAGCATTCTCAATGATCTCCACAACCTTAGGTAGAGTCTTCTCGTTCAAAAACGGACAATGGCCAGCCTCTATCTTCTCCACATTGACCGCATCTCCCATAGCACCAACCATAGCCAATTGTCCCTGCACAGGAACCGTATTATCAATCTCACAGACAACATATGTCTTTGGCACAGTGATATCAGTAGCGACAAAGCTGGCTGCCGTTTCGAGAGACGCAGTGCTGTGGTTGACACATTCACTGATTGCCTTCTTAGCAACTTCGGGAGTACAATCGTTGTAGAAGGCGTTTTGTGCTTTGTCGTTTAGGTAGCAGATATCATTCTGTAAGTATGTAAGCAATAGTCGATACTGGATACCAGGTCTTGTGGTAGCTTACCGTTCTATCGAGAAAAGGGCCGTGTTGGCCTCCAGCAGCGGATAAAAGAGAAAGACCTTTCACAGGAAGAGCAAACGCGGCGATATACACGACGTGCGAAATACCACCAGGCAAACCATTGGCCTCTCGTTCGTGAACCTGGTAGCCTTCCACAGCAGCAGAGCCAGGAATGCCTCCGTAGCTATGGCAGACCAACACAATCCGCTTTCCTTCGTCGAGAGCTGGCTGGAGGGAGTGTCGAATGGCCTCAACATCGTCTAGGTGAGTTTTGCCTTTAATACTTCCGTCCTTGCCAGCTGTGACATTATCAGGTTGAAGAACAGGGAAGCCCTTGTTGGTAAGCGACTGCACAAGGCCCTGGTAGTGAGTCGCGCGATGCCATGCACCTTGGACGATGGCGATCACGGGCTTTTCCGAGTTTGTCGACATGATGTGATATAACGAGATCTTTGAGACGCCCAAGAAAAGAAAACTAAGTGGGTGGAAGTCAGTATTTATCGTTGAGGGTCAATGTCAGCGCTATCATTGCCAGATACTGCCTACTTCTCCATCAATATTAGTCCCTTCCAATTACAGGAGAGAGGTGTCTAGTTCGCAGCTTAGATTGACTCCTTCAGGTGGTTTGGCTGACAGTGCTGACGGTTTGAATCCTGTCAGCCATAAAACCCAGGGTATCAGCGGCAAGTCCGCCAATGAGAGGCTGAGCTGTCACTTGTAATGCATGTCAGCAAAAAGTGAGAGTAGGGCTGATATTTGATTGAGAAGAAAAGTCTAGACCTTTGCATAATCCTGTTCTGTTCTATACCCCATGGCATTCCATCTTTCATCCCCCAAATCACAGCTTGAAAGGACTCTGAGGCGGGCTCGCACCCATCGACATCTCCATACTGTTATCAATCTTCTCCATTGTCTTCTTAAACCCCTCCCGCCCCGCAATCCTCTCAAGATACTTCAAAACATTGGGATACTCCTCCAGACTATACGGCGAAAAGTATCTCATCGTCGTAAGCGGAAACACAACCATGATGTCAGCAGCTGTAAATTCCTCGCCCGCAAGCCACTCATTGCTCTTAACCCGCTCATCCAATAACTTCAGCGCCTGTCGTGACTTGACTTTTCCAAACTGCACAACGGGGTTATCGTCGCTCAACTTGGCAGAGCGGATCAACATAATTCTGCCAAGGGCAGTTTGAAGAGTTCCATCAACGTAGTGCCACCAGTACAGGAAATCAGCGTACGCTGGGTGGTCTGAGGGAAGGAAGAGAGAGCCATTGGCGTATTTGTGGCTGATGTATTCGATGCATGCGCAGCTCTCGGCGAGGGTTGTTGAGCCGTCTGTTATGACGGGGGCGGCGCCCATAGGATGGAGGGCCTTGAAGTCGGCGGGTGCGAGGAGGGGAGAGCGTTTGTATTGCTTGAGATCATATTCGATGCCGAGTTCTTCGCAGAGCCAGGGGATGCGCTCTGACTGGGAGACTTGGAGGTGGTGGACTGTGAGAGGCATTTTGATGTTCTTGTCTGTTTTGAATGTGATTGAGGATTGTAGAGTGAGAGGTTATGATATTTACATGCTGAGTTCTTATACTGCTCCATCTCAATCGTCATTATGGAGTTCATGTTTTCCGTGCCGAGGCATTTACCGGTCCCACTATCTAGTTGGAGACTTGTTTGACCAATGATATGATTTACCGACTCGGAGAATGTCACCGCTAGTACGATATCGTCTGCGCTAAGATGATTTGTCATATGATAAATACAAGATCTAGGGTATTTGCAGATCCAAGCTGAAGTCCCATGAGGTCTGATCTACATCTAAGAACGATAGATCAAAGTTATCGTCAACTGGAAAAAGACCAGCCATGTCAGCATCGATGAGTGAGTTGAAGATGTCCAGAGCCGGCCATTCACTGGACCCCGTGTTAAGCTGTCTCGGAGTTTGCGGGATTATCGTGTTCGGATTATTCGTATTCGGTGCATGGTCTAAAGCTTGAAGACCAGCCAACACGTCCCCACCGCTAGCAGCAGTGGTGATAGTTGGGTCTGAAGTCTCATCTCCAGCTCTGACATATCCATTCTCACCAGACCGCAACATGCCACCAAACTGCAAGATAGAGGATTTGGCAAGTGACGCGTCGACGTCAAAGTCGACAAGTGCCGAAATATCCATATACTTTGGCTCGCCGACGATCACAGGCGGATTGCGTTTGTGAACATCATGAAGGCAGCGCACGTAAAGTTGCTGTCCCGCGTCAGCCCCAGCGACCTCATATCGATAAACTGACGGCACTCACTAATAATGAAGCTAACTTCCAGTAACATGACATGCCCTGGATCGTTCTGACATTGACGTCGATGTTGCATTGAGCTCGCTCTCTAACAGAAGGCTCAGAACACCAAAGAAAAGGGATCTGAATGGCACAGCTTGAGTAAGCTGCATAGGCGACAAATATCGGCATCGAACTGAGCGTATGACCGGTAGTTAATATTCCAGAGATGAGGCTAGAGATCTCAACAGCGTGATCGAAGGCAACCTGAGCAGACAATTGCCTGGCTGATGAGTAAGTCTTGTCGCCTTTTGACCAGCAAAAGAGCGGAACGGTGGAGGAGTGCAGTGCACAGAGGGATTGGTGATAGACGAGGTTCGTGAGAATCATTTTGGGCAAATCCTTCTGTGGTATGTTTGAGACAGTAGATGCATCGAGTTTGAAGGTCGCAGGAACATTGTTCCACCATGATGAGAGGTTGTTCTCAACCCTAAAAATCTCCTGAAGGCGCGAATTGAGACCGCCCTCGCATCTGACGACAGACACGACAGACGACCTGTGAAGTCAGCAAAAATGTCGACAGTTGAGATTTCACCTACCAGAGATGAAGACCCCGTATGAGCTCTGCAAAAATACTTTCCGAGCAGACTCCATTCGCAATCGTTGCGATTGTTCCACATGAAGTCCCAGCTGCGAAGTCTTCTTCAGACCATGGCAGTGGCAGATTCTCAACATTAGCAATTGCCTCGAACCGGAATAGCTTCTCACAGCTGAAACAGTGAAACAAATAACATGTCCAGAATCGCCGTCTTCGTAGTTCAGCTTCGATTGAGGATTCATCCTTTGGACCTGTCCCGTTTATATGGAGCAGTTGACAGGCATTACCTAGTAGAGTTAGCAATGAGCAGGTTTCAATTCAGTGCGCGTGCCCTTGTGAAGATAGCTTATTCTCCATGATCCTTGACTATGCCAGAATAGTGATAGATTGCAGAACGTCACAAGGTTATCATCGCTGAGGTCTTCGGCATCTTGGAAGACCAAAACTCCAGCTTCTTTAGCCCATTTCGTCGTGGAACCTTGGTCTTTAAGGGTAGCTTTGTCTGAATCATCACGGTAGAAACTTGGTCGTCAGATAAGTTTGGTGGGGAGATGAGAATGGAAGCTTACTTGGCGCCCCATGCACAAATACTGAGAAGAACATGAGGCTTGATAGTCTGATCTGCAAGTGATTGCAAGAATGTGGCTTTGTGTAGGAGAAGAGTTGATTGATAGACATTATCAAAGTATAGTTCAATCAGGATATTGACCAAAGACGGGGCCATGCCTTGGAGGAAATCATGGTTTAATGCAGGTTCGAAGTTGAGATGAGCTGGCAGTGTAACTGGGGCCAGGCGCTTCGACCCCATATATTGGGATGTTCCATTTGTAGCCATAGCTCCCGTGAAATGTCTTCTGTTTCTAGAAGGGATTCGCTTGGCCCCGTATTCACAGGTGTTCTTCAACCTGACGCATCGCTTACAGCTGGGTCGCTCTCCGGAGCAGCGTATCTGGACGGCAAAGTTAATAGCTGTGACCTTTGTAATTTAATCTCTCAGACCTTTTGCTTTTTACATATGTCGCAAGCCTTGCTCGGACGTCCCGGTGTATTAGCCATCGCGGCATGTGGTGAATGTAAGATTTCCCATGATACATGTCAGCAACGGACAGATATCATCGCTAAAGGGAAAACGATAACCCGACACTTGTCACGCTGTAATCAAAGCATTAACAGCGTCTCACCGATCAACCACGCATCCAACAGCTCGTCCTCAATTGAAATGCAACGGACAAAGCTCACCCGATTCAATTCCTCTCGTAATTTAGGCTCTTTTTTGCAAAGTTACCGATTGGTGGTCCCCAATTACCCCGGGTCGCATCCCAGCGCCAAGCGTCCCTATGATTGAAGCGTCTACCGCCCCAGCGGGGGATCGCCGTGCAAATTGGGGGGCTCCCCCGCAAAACAAACAAGCATAAACGGCTGTGATGCTAAGACGAGGTATGACGCCGTTGGGGGATTCCTGCGCCGTCGGGCGGAGATATACCGAGATAGCTATAAAACAAAAGCATTTCTGCAAGCTTTTACAGGTTACAGAGCTTCTCAATTGGTCGTACAAGTCAATTGATTGCTAACATGACGCTCTTCTCGGTTCTCGCATTCGCTGCGCTTGCGAGTGCAAAGTGGATTGTTCCCGGTGCACGATGGTACGATACCGATGGAAATCTATTCAATGCTCATGCAGGCGGTCTTTGTGTTGATAGGGAGAGTGGCAAGTTTTATTGGTTTGGCGAACATAAAACTGAAGAGCAGGAAGAAGGCGGTGGTATCTCGGTCTATAGTTCTGATGACCTCGCTACGTGGGAGTCTCACGGTTTGGCTCTGAGTTTGTCTCCCCGTTTGACACTTGTGATGATCACTGACGTGTTACAGAGCCTGAGGAGGGCCATGAGTTTGTTTCGCCAGAGAGTATCATCCAACGACCTAAGGTTCTCTACAGCGAAGAAACAGGAAAATACCACGTATGTTCCCTCTCTCCCATGAAATCACCAAATTGACGTCCCTTAGATGTGGTGGCACGCCGACGACAGCAAATACAGCCTTTTGCTCCAAGGCCTCGCAACATCCGACAACATCGCAGGCCCCTACAAATTCCAACACGCCGTCTCACCCCTCGGAAACTGGTCCCAAGACTTCGGCGCCTTCACCGACTACAAGACCGGAAAATCCTACGCTCTCTACTCCAACGGCGATAAAGTAGAAGGTCGAGATGTCTACGTCAGCCAATTCAACAACAACCTCACGGATGTTGAGAAAGTCACGTTTCGGTTTAATAAATACGATTTCGAAGCGCCGACTATTATTCAGACTGAGAAGAGCTACTGGACTTTTATGAGTCATAAGACGGGTTATCGACCTAATAGTAAGTGAGCTGGGGCTGAAAGTGAGTTAGGGTGAGAAAGGCTAATTGGTGTAGATGTTGTGGCTATGAGGGCTGATAAGCTTGAGGGTCCCTGGTCGCAGCCTTTCTTTGTTGCGCCGGCTTATACGAGGACGTTTAGTACACAGAGTGGCTTCTCGTGGAGGATAAAGGGGACTAAGAAGACGACGTATCTCTACATGGCTGACCAGGTATGACGCGTTATTCTGATGCAAGTCAAAGCTAACATTTTGCAGTGGGATCTCCCATCCATTTGGGAAAGTCGCAACGTCTGGCTTCCTATCGAGATCGATGAGGAAAACAAGAGTCTCAAAGTCGTTTGGCACGATGTTTACGATTTGAATGTGTAAGCTTTACTGCGCCGCGATTGGTGGTCAAGTTGGTGCTGACTACTTGTAGCAAAACTGGTGAATGGAAGCCTATCAAGGGGAAGACTTATCCCTCCAAGAACGCCAAGTTTGCTGGTGATGCTCACCTCCAAGAAGCTGTGAGTCAATCTTATCGAGTTTGTAGGGGGTTATTAATCATGGTGATTAGACGTTTGGGACGGATCATGTCATCGCAACTGGCATTTACGGCAACGACAGTACTGCAACATTCACAGTTGAAGGACAAGGCGCTGACCAATGGGTATCTTTCTACCACCAAAGTAAACCCCCTCCTCCTCACTCTTGTGTTCATGTACTAATCGTCATCCAGATATTGATGATATGGGCTTTGGTGACCAGCCAATGGGTCAACCCGATCGCATCAACGGAACATGGGCCGTCAGACGAATCAGCAGCGTTGTCGTCAACGGAGACAAGGAAAAGGTGCACACTCTCTGGCAAAAGGATACTCACAAGGGAATTATTCTATCAGCTCCTTTGTTGCTGCCGCTCAAGAAGGGCAAGAACACTATTACTGTTGGTGGGTTGAATAACGGGAAGGATGTCAAGGGTGCGGATTTGGATAGGATTGTGGTCTATCCTCCTGAGAAGAAGAATGGAAAGCGTAGTTTCTTTGGAATCTTTTAGATTTCCTTTTAGAGCTAGATAGTGTTAAATGCTTTAGATGAGACAATGAGAAGTTTGGACGCAATTGCTAGAATAAGTCGAGCTACTTTGTATACCGTCAACACCAGTTTAATTTCATTATCACAGCGTGGTGTGACCCTCGCAGTCAGGTCCTACAGTCACAACACCTATCAGTGAATTACTTAGTCTGTTTGGATGATACGGCATCCGCAGGTAATGCGTGAAGCATACTGGCACCCCAAGTCCCTCCCGCCGAATAGTGTACTATACCACGTCTTTGAATCGGGGAGTGGTGCGCAATCTGCCAATTGGAACAGAACGCTCTGTTTAGAGACCAATCAGACTTTAGATGAACTCTTACCTTCCGCTCTTTGTTATTTGCGTTCGTCAAAGGCATTCACAAAGGTGTCTGACTCGCTTAGCCTCACAAACAAAGCTCATTATGAACAACAACAATGAATCACAGCTCAAACCACAGAACACTGTCACAGCCCTCATCATGCCATTATAAAAACCCCAATTCTTGGAAACCAGTTGATTCCCGCCAACTTTACCAACTTCCACGTCAAAAACAGTCCACCCGGTAAGAAGATCACCATCAACATGCCACTCTTTCCTTGGCCAACCGCCCTTCCTTCAAAAGACCACATTCCCTCTCGAATCCTTCCGTCTCTGTTACTGATCGTTCCACTGCTCATAAGCATAACTTGTATTTGGCTTCTTGTCAATGATGTCTGGACACAAGTCTTCTGCACGCTCTTTACACTGAGGTATCTCCGGTTATTTGGACATGTTCTTGGCTCGTGGATGTATCGCCCTGCAGAGGTAAAGCAGGATCCTTCGTTTTCGAGGAATGATGTAACTGTTGTTCTTCCAACTATTGATCCTCATGGCCCTGACTTTCGGGAGTGCGTGGAAAGTATCCTTGCGAATAATCCTGCGTGCGTTCTCGTCGTTACGGTTGGTGCTGTTCTGCGAGAGGAATGCCAGACTGTTCTCAGAAAACTAAGCATTGATGCTCCGCATATTCAGATCCTTGTCTCGGCACTTCCTGAGCCTAGTAAGAGAAGACAGATCACTCATGCTATGCCAAGTGTCACTACGCCTATCACCATCTTCGCAGATGACCATGTCTTCTGGTCAAGGAGGTTTATCCCTTCTGTTCTTGCACCCTTTGAAGACCAGAGTGTCGGTATGGTAGCTACCAAGAAGCGAGTTCGTCGAACAACACCTGGAGTCTGGACATGGCCTTCCATCGTAAACTTCATCGCATGCAATTACCTCCAGCGTCACAACTGGGAACTACGTGCATCCAACGCGATCGACGGTGGAGTATTCGTCATCTCAGGCCGAACAGCAGTTTACCGTACAGAATTCCTCAACGACACTGACCTCCTCC